GACCTGGCTCTCTGACATGCAAGCAAGATTGAATATTCCTTCTGAGAGGAATAATGAGACTCTTTGTTCCTAATATATTTAGCTCCACTCTGACATGTCTGATGAATGCTAGGATTAGTTTATAGGCAAGGCCCACACACACAGAGGACTATTGGGAGCCTCAGACGAGAAAACTGCCGACCATTGTGCCCACACATCGCCGCCCAGGGAAGGCCTGAATCTGTACACGAGAATACTCGCGAACACTTGCATGACTATGAATCTCACAATCTGTGCACCCACACAGATGGTGGCTGCATTGTGTCATCTCTCTGAATCTGATGCCTTCCCTACATGCAGATGCTGTATGACTGTAAGGGTTAGCCATGTGTTAATTGTGTTAGAAAAACGGAGCCCATGTCTCAAAGTCAGTTACAGGTCAGATTACCAATTGGGATGAATCATCGCTCCCTCCTGCCAAACCTTTCCCTTTTGTATGACCCGTACATGTACTGTATGTTGAAAAACAGATCAGATGCAGTCATGAACCCCTCTGGTAGCACAGGTACTATAATGACTAAAATACCAAGAGAATAATGACAGATTGCGCTTGTCAAGCCACAAATGCAACCATGTCTGGCGTCAAAATTGATCATCACAGCTACAGTTAGTTTCAGTTTTGTAAATATACAAACCATGTGTTTGCTGTGTTTGTCTGTACACTGTGTCCTCAGTGATGTGTTTTCATTTTCACTTTATGTCAAATTTAACCAAAGCCTGGAAATGCTTTCAGTGGAATAAAGATTAGCGTCTTACATATTGTAATGTCATGACTTTGACATTATTGCTTTTAGACACTTGTGTCAGAGACAAAGCACTTCTGCTCCATCCTTCCTTTTGCATTCGTTATGACTCATCAAAGGGAGTGGCATAGTTGGTTTTTACATGAGTGCTTTTGATATAATTTGTCATATAATTGTATGACTTATTGCATTACCAGCAAGAGGGGAGAGTGGATAAAAGACTTTGTGTATACGCCACATTATTCTAATAATCTACAAAATGTATAAGGATCTTGGCCCATGCAACATCCTTTAAAAAAGTAACCTGGCTAGTATTTTTTTCTGTGAACATGCTGACAGACGAACAAACAGACAAACAAACCATAACTCATATGAAAGTGGTAATATATTTTGTCTGTAGTTAACAATGCTATTTACACCCGGGTGTCCTAGTTAACAATGCTATTTACACCCGGGTGTCCGTAACAATGTTATTTGCACCCGGGCTACACATACTGTTTTGGATGTATAGGTATTTATGAAAATGTTTCTTTGATAACTTCATTGCCTTGTGCTGCTGCGTCAAATTGTAATTCCCGTATGGTGGATGTATAAAAGCACATCTTATCTTAAGCACTGTAGCTATTTACAGCCGGGTCTTGTACTGTATGCATCTCTTCTTGCTCTTTCTACAATGGCTTGGTAAGGTTACCTGAACATCAGGGACAAAAAACACCGTTGCTATATTGTGAACATGGCTGTTAGGTAATAAATGTCCCACAGACCCCCCTGATGAAAGGTGATTAATTAATCTGCCACAACAGTCAGAAAGAAGTTATGAGACGTGATGAATTTTAGTATGTTTATTTAAAAAATACCACAACAGTAAACAGTGACTAAAAAATCAATTATGTAATTGCGCCCCAATCAGTCTATTTAATATATACCCTGAGGCTCTTGTCCTGCTGGACGCTGGCAGGATCTGCGTCTTTTGGCAGGGCTTCAGCATTCTGAAAGACACAATTCCACATTTATTTACAATATACAGTAGAAATTCATTTTACAAATGATTTCATGCCCCACCCTTGTGTGGCTTTAAGTTGAACCCACAAACAAACAAATTGACTCAATAAAAATGCACTTTTAAAGTCTGTGCTTTTAAAAACAGTACTTTCCATCAGCACACAAAGTTTGCCAACCGGGACTTTTTGTAGGGTCCATCCATCCAGACACTCCCCTGTTGAAGCGCCTTTCTCCTTCTTGACTTTTCTAATTAATAACTAAAATAATATTAATTCATTAATCAAAAGACTAACATTAGTGAAAACATGTCATTGGCTTTACTGATTATACACTATCAATAGGAGTAAATATACCTCCAGTGCAAGAAGAACTGCCGCTCTTTTGCAGGACTTGGCAGGGAGTCCATGATGTCGACCTGTCGCGATTCCACTTTCACAGCAACAAGGAACCAGTGGCCATGTCTGCACACTGGAAGGAAACTGCAATGTTTCTCCCCAAATCGCACCTATTCACTGAAATGTGGCCAACTCTACACACTTTCACTGAGTTCAATGGAAATATCAGACGTTGTTTTCTTTACTCCTGCTGATAAACAGATAAACAAATCAACAAACCCAACTGAAAAAATTATCTATGTGGGTGTTAGGACTGTCACTATATCAGATCTTCAAAAAAAAGTAATGGCGGCGAAAATAATTCCAGATAACAATACTATCTCGATATCAATAGAAAGTAAAAATAAATAAAAATGATTATCACACAAAATTATCTTTAACTTTAAACAACATTTTTGTTTTTCTCAGTGTTTTAACAAATTAGTTATACTCAAAATGTGTATAGGGAATCTCTTACTTTAACTGTACAAAGGCGTAAATAGCAGAGGCATATTATCATACATGTGTCATTAAGACATTATCTATATTTAATTTATTTAAATAAAACAATTATAGTAAAAAACTCTAACAATGGTAATAAGTGTTTTTCCCCCACAGCACCATACCACCTCTGGCCCTTACATCATTGCCAGGAAAGCATCACATTAGTACATGAATCACAGTGTGGAAGACTTGTATCGCTTCTTTGTAAAACATAGCAATTTGCGGCCATTAACATCTCAAGGCCCTCACTGTGCCGGGTGAAAGCCGATGTGATATGTATAAAAAGAGGAAAGCACTTTTATGGTAATAGCCTTTTGTGTAGCTCCACTTAGTCCTCTCTTATCGTCCCTCCAGAATCTGCAAGAAACCAGATTAACAGCTCATCGATGGGTTTGGTTATAGCCACTCGGCCCACTTAAGGGATGAAAGGGCTCTATCTCTTCCTGAGGCTGATTTTTGCTCATTTATGGTGCAATCAGTCCTACTGTAGGAACAAGGTATGCTTTTGCACATGTTCAAATGCAACAATTTTGTGGAGAAATTGGAGGCAAGCCCCTTTGTTTTGGAATAATAACACTGTGAGGACAGTGTGCCTGCAATTTATTTTGTTCATATTGCAAGTTAAATGGGAGTTTAGTTTTGTACAAAGTTTCTGAATGTTCCAGTACAAGAGTCTGTTCCAATTCCAGTCGCTGAAAATGTCACACTGTGATTTTATTGGGTCAAGAGCAAACAAATCAGATCACTCAAAGTAGTGAGCTTTACCAAAGCCTACATTCCAGACTAAAAAACATGAGAATAAACTGATAGATACTGTTTGCATAGAACCTGAAATATCTGTAAAAAAAAAAGGAAACAATAAACACACAATCCTGGAAGTCAGACTGCCAGTGGCTGAATCAGTGTTTCTGACAGGAGCCTGCACACACAACGGAAGTCTTTATCTCGTGTCCTTTCACACTTTGACATGCACAGCATGACCCCCTCTTTGTGAGGCAGTGTGTGTGAGCTGCTGTTGTTGACACCATATACATGAAATAATGTAGACAAAAACCTCTAATCACGGGATAGGTCATTCATTTTCTCCATGGCCCACAACATGTGATTAGCACTTAGTAGTGGACATGCCGCTCATGATCTAACAGAGGTGTCTATTATTTTCTATTGCAATTATTTGATGTCATGTGGTCACATCACCATCTTAGTGTTAACATGCAAACATTTGCTAATTATTGATAGACACAACATAGGCTACAGTTTAAGCTAATGATTGGTCATATAGGAAAAGTAATGGGATCTTCTTTCATAGTCATAGTTGACACACTCTGTGGATGATGGATCACTCCAATTTCATCCTTTCGTTGAGGAGATATTTTACATGATAGTTAAAACTTTTGTCCTGCTTGTGGTGCACAACGAAGGAGTACAAGGTAGAGGATGCCCTTTGTTATTTGGACCCTCTTGGGAGAATGAATAACTGTAATTTCATGGAAATCCATCTTTTGATGTCGAAATATACATGTCTATATGTACATCCTTCACATACTATGGTCAATAAAAACACATTTTATAGTCAGTATTTATTCAAAGTTATTGTGATTATTGACTAGCAACCTGCAAATACACCATATTTGCAATAAGGAGGATAACATTTGTTGTTTTGTCTCCTCCTACGAGGACTATGAATATCTGCAATCCATAGTTGTCAAAATATATCGCTCTAGGTATTATGTCAGTCATACAAGTACGCCTAATAGAAACACAGTTTTATCATTATTATTATCCTTTTATTTTTTAATAAAATTATAATAGTCATAATGAATGAATAAAGTAGCCTTATTGAAATAAACTAAATTGAGTAAAGCAACAACTTTGTCGTCATCCAACATAAAACAGATGTTGTTTTCTATCAGCAATGCCTTCTTATTAATTCAGTAATAATTATCAGGAATGCATATGACAGAAGTTTACATGCCTAAAGAACTACATTACCCAGAGAGCTGTGCGGCAGTATAAACAAAAATAAATACATAAATAACCTCAGCAACTTGCAAATGACCAATGCATTGTATTTGCATCATTTTGTCCTATATGTGTTTTAGTGAGTGTGTATGCTAATAAATAATTTCATAAAATAAATCAGATTTAAACAGAAATGATTGTTTCCATCAGCAATGCTTTTTTATTTTTGCATTATTAGTTACAGTACTGTGTGTTACAGCAGTTTACATGTCCTAAAGAACTACATTACCCAGAGAGCTGGGCGGCAGTATAAATAGTAACGAAAGGGGCGTTTCCTGGGTGACATGTGGAGGAGGTAAGAAGCAGATTGTTGCCGAGGACGCATTCAGCAGAGATAACGCCGCTCAGCCTGCTCTCACCTGGACTTTCACTACCATGGACTTAACCGAGGATAGCGCGGTGGAAATTATCCTGTGCTGACCCACTTCTTCTCACGGTTCTCTCTCCGTCCATCTTTGACGCCTTCATTTCTGCCAGGTACAGTCATTATGTAGTTTTCCAGCTCGGGCATTGTTCATTTTGTCACTGAGCTGAGAGCATCCCTGTCAAGGAAGTGAGCCCACGCGCTCATTTGTTGCTGTTTTTATGTTGCAGGTCGAGCTATGAGAAATGAGGCGTTTTGACATTTAGTTTTAGCTAGCAGAAACATGTTTGTGTCTCATTTGGCATCTCAGGAAACACTGTCTCAAAACGTTTAAATGTCATTACATTGTGTGGCAAGGGGCTCTTCTACAAACTTTATGTAGTGCATGTGTCTCAGTTGTTCGTGTGGAACATCTGAATCTGGGTAAATATGACCTTCAGCTTCTTATGGACAAAACGGAATCACAAAAGTATCATGTATTTAGGAAAACATTGCCTACTTTAGGCTTTCTTAATTTTTAAGTACCTTTTTTTCTGATATAATAGGGCTGCAAACTAATTGTATGCCAAATTGCAGGCTTAAACTATGCTCAAACACATTATTATTGACCACTTGACCTCTTTAAGTGGTCTTGGGGTCTTGGTTGTATGTCAACCTGGACACAAACTAAAAGATGGTGACCTACATTTAAGATGTAGAGTACATGTAGGCCTATTGGTTTGACACAGCTAATAATAAATAGCTCAGTGTACAGAGAAACCCAAATGTAGTTTTCTTGGCAGCCAGGTGTTTTGCAGTGTTACATTTCAAATAATTATGTGCTTGTGTTTCATACTAATATGTCCAACTTGAATAAGCTGAAAGTTAAGCAGTTTATACTCATATATGGTATTTATGTCTTTTTGAGTATGCACTTTAATTTGAAAGAATAACTAGTGTAAAGATAGATTAGATTCACAGCTAAGTTGTTTATGTCTTATGTAAATAGTTTTGAGTTAAAGTTGATATTCTTCTTGCAATTGTTACTCGTAGTCTTACAGTAGGTGGTGCTCTGAGGATGGGCTTATAAATAATCAGATGGTCTGGACAGAAAATACCATCAGAAGCAAAGTCAGTGTCCTCGAAGCTATGAAGGATTCCCCGCTGTAAACACAACTTTGAATCAGCTAATCATCTTCTTACAAAGTGAATCCTCAGGCATATCATCCTGTAACATATCAATGATTAGTATCTACATTGAGGACCTAAATGAAAGATGGACAATTAATTCCAATTGAGTGGTTAATTTTCTGTTGTTGTCCTAATTGACTAGCTGAGGGAAATATTGAATAATGATGTTTGATAGAGCACCACTTTATGTACTAACTGCTTTAAAGACCTTTGGTGTACATCTTTTGCAGGTGCAGTCACACACCTGAGGAAACATGTCGGACAAGATGTCCAGTTTCCTCCATATTGGGGACGTTTGTTCCCTTTATGCCGAGGGCTCCACCAGTGGATTTATCAGCACTTTAGGGTAAGTGTGCTTGTTTGTTTTTTTTATGGGGTGAAAAAACCCCTTACACTACAGCCACAGGATTCCAGGTGAGCTTGAATGAGTGAGTCTCAGGAAAGGTCCCACTGTGCAGAATACACAACTATAAAACTGTTATACAGAAATCGAAACGAAGTAATATATTATGGGTAGTATTATGGATGTAAATAAACATAACCCTTTTGTTCCTCCACATCTTGTGATGAATAATGTAATCTGATTTCAGCAAAACAAAGGAAACCAGTTTAAAAAAAACGTCACAATTCAGTAGATCCACATGAGTTAAAGGTCCCATGTCATGCTTTTCCAGTTATTACCCGTCCCCTTGTGTGTTATGTAGCTTTTTCTGCATGTAAACGGTCTGCAGAGTCACAAACCCTCAAAGTACACCCTGTAGCGAGTAAAACTCTAACACAGAAAAGACCTGTCTATGCTGCCCCAGAACGCCTCGTTGGGGATTTCTCTTTTACCATTGTTTTCTTCCTGGGTACAGTGACGTGCCCATACCCAAATGGACGCGGCGAGGCTGCGGCGAGTTTGTGTGTGTGTGTGTGTGTGTGTGTGTGTGTGTGAGCACACACACAAACTCCCAGCCAGGCTGCGGGTGTGTGTGTGTGTGTGTGTGTGTGTGTGTTCGGGCTGGTTTCGGGCTGGGTTTCGCTGTGTCTCGCTGTCTCGCAGACGGCCACTACATACTATATAGAGATGCTTTATGAGAAACCAATGTGATTTTGGAAAATTGCACAATATAAATCTATTCTAGTAGACCTCAACAATGGAATTATGATCAGTAGAAATGGCCATGACATGGGACCTTTAATAGTTAAAGAGAGAAATGTATGATTGCAGAATGCCTCACTATCTTTTAAAGAGGATCTTTTATGACATCTCACTCTTGTACTGTTCTTGCACATACATTTGGGTAAGTGGAGTAACAGCCGACCCACAAACTGAAATAGGACAACCCTGTCAGTTTTCTGTGGGCCGCCTCGGTCAGAAAGCATAAGATTAAACGTTCATTTTTGAATCTGCTCTTTAGGAAAAACCACTCGCCGCATTTGAGTATCACAGGTCAATCAATTATTCATATAAAATAGATAAGAACACTCAAATCCAATACAAAGGGGTGTATGCATTTTTTTCGGGGGGCTCTTAAAGAGACAGGCGCCAACACAAAGTGTTTTAGAAAGAGCGTAGATACAGGTACATACAGAGTGATAGTTTGAGAAAGATAATGTGTTTTTAAAAACATTGAAGCCTGTAAAGATGTTCTAAAAGGAAACAGGTAATGCATGCATGTGGAAAAGAGCAGAAACACAGCCCTAATAACCATCTTTGTTACTGGACTGAATTGAGCTCTTCAGAATCAAGCTCAAGTATTTATTTCCCCACAGTAATAGGCCAAGACTACTTGCTCTGCTCTAAGATTATTGCAGCTTTTAATCATATTTTACACAGTTGGCAGCTCCACATAGTGTAGACATGTTTTGTAAAATAGCGACGCCTGGTAGTCCCATGTTGGAAGGGCTGGGTGTTTTGTATGTATCTGAAAAACAAAGTAAACCTGAATATGCTATAGAAAAATAAATTTAAACGTTTAAAGCATGAAACAGATGAGGCTTGTCTATTCAACCTTAAAGTCAGTGACTACCCCATACATGTACAATTGTGTAGTTGTGATCAGCTAATCAACGTGTAGCTTGACTGTATTCAAATGTCGCTTAATCTGTGTCCTATTTTTGAATATTGAGCCGAATACAGAGTGATGGCATCGAGAAATGTAAATATGTTAAGTAAGGTTACTTGAGAGGTGATGGATCCCGCTGTTCACCCCGCACTGCTTTTATTTCCCTGACATTCTGTGCTCAGCTTACAGTCCGGCCTCGAATTAACCTGTCTCCTTCTGCTTCATGCTGGGCACCATTTACTATGTACTTGACGTCTTCCTTCCTGCCCCAATTATGTGCAAATTGGGCTAATCTTGGCATACAATTAGAAAGTAAAGTCACTACAGAAATCAAATTTAAAGATATATCCGACATGTCAGCCTCCATTTTTCAGATTTCACAGCATTCATGTTATCCTATCCTCCCCCCAAGTGCTAAAATCTTCCTCCTCCTGCCATGTCACTTTTCTATTTACCACCCAACACACCGTGCAGCCCTCCTTTTCCTCTTCCTCTCTCATGATCCATCCAGCTTACTGATTGCGTCACCCACCATGGCAACAACAGCTTTGAGGACTGCCACCATGACAGAGCTCATTTGTCAGATTTCCGATCTAGTGTTGTTTTGCCTAGTAATCAATCCCCCCCCCACCCACCTCTGCTGTGAGCACTCACCGTGAACGAGAGAAGCGTAGAGGACGGATCTATAAATAGCCCCGTTGTGTATACTGTAGGTGTTTCATTAGCTGCCAGCACACTGGATGTGTCCCCTGAGAGACGGCTGCTGCCACCTGCACCGCCGCTGGTTAGCTGAGGATAGCACCATGTGTGTTGATGTTAGGAAGATAGGATCAATCAATCAAACTGTATTAATCCTGCAAGGGGCACTTGGTTATGAACAGCTTATGTCACGTACACAGGCAGGAACATACAGGAAGAAAGCACACAGAAACACCCGGGAGCGTGGATGTGGATCGTTCCAATTTACACGATAAATAGTTCATAGCATCACCATAAATAAGTAAATAAATAATCAAGAATTTCAAAGTTTGAGTGCAGAGGAGATGAATGATTTTGAAAAGCGATTTGTCTTAAGATACAGATTTTCAGCATCGATGTATTTTTTAGATCAATTGGTTAATAAGTGTAGGGAATAGTAAAACATGTCCAGCTCGGTTCCAGAAAGTCCAATGGGGATGTCTTTTTTAACCCTCTCTTAAATTCACCTTAATAAAATTATATTACGAAAAAATAAGAAAATCTCCATATTTGAGAGGCAGAAGAAAACATTATGTTGTGGCAATATAATTATTTTGTTTGTAACTAATCAGGCGTATATAGGCGTCTACCAATCAGCAGATCGACCCCTCCCCCTTCTGTCAACACGGGTGTCCTTGGAAAAAATACATAACCCCAATTTGCTCCCGGAGGCATGTCTACAATATTGAAGTCTACATTAGTCACTCTGGATAAAAGTGTCAGCTAAATAGATTCAGATACAGAATTCTTTATTGTCCATTAAATTGACACATAAAAGTGTGTCTCTGGCAAATAAAATAAAATAACACTCACCATTAGGGCTGCACGATATATCGTGTCGTGACGATAATCGCGTTTTGCGCATACGCAATATATTCACATCGCAGGACTCAAGATTTTTTTGCGATATTAAGTAGGCAAATGAACTCAAACACGTCATGTTACAATTATTTTGCTGCTTGCTACAAAAGGAAAACTCGCGCGGCTCTCATGTCAGGGGTACTTGAGTGAGTGACATGCAGGCTCTGCATGCACATCAAACCACCAATCACAATCATTCTTGATCAGATCACAGCAGGATAACCGAGCTAGCTCAGCTTGTTGCTCTGATAACTTAAGATCCAGAAGTCCGTGACTAAAATCCTTCATCCGGTTAAATATCGTTAAAAAATTACCAATTGTATAGCATTAAAGTTCAAGAAAGGATGGTTTGCGGACAAAAAAAAATGTCTTTTCTTCAATTCCTGTATTTTTTCATATCGCAATATATATCGCAGGGGAAGAAAATATCGCAATGTCAGTTTTTTTCAATATCGTGCAGCCCTACTCACCATACACAGTACAACATGGGAAACTGCATTTTAATTGACGAAGTGCAGTCTTAATAAAAGTGCAGAGGGGTTTGGGTCCATAAAAATATCAGTTGTATTAAAAATAAATAATTTAATTAGGAGTTGGTGGCAGAATGTCCTAAGAAGAATCATTGAGGCTTGGAAAGGGGCCATGTAGTAATAATACAAATGATAATCGATAAATCCATATATTTTAAGAGATACTTCCGTGTATTACCTAGTGGACTAATCCACTCTATATACGGCCATGTTGTTGTATCCCAGAATGCAAGAGGAGCTTTCTTCTTGACCTTGGACACAGATGTCCACTGAGGCTCCTCTCCCTTTTGGACCTTGGCCCATCGGTGTCTCGATGCGATCAAGGCTACGACTCTTCCTCCCTTTCAGAGGAGTCTCTCACACCGCTGTGTTTTCTTCCCTCAGCATCACAGAGCTTCTGCAGTGCAGAGTTTACTGCATGAGCTATAAAAAGATGTTACTGACTGGCCAACGCATCCTACTGATTTGTGTTTTCTTTGCTGCTCTACTATCTGATAGTACTCTGATGGGTTTCCCCTCAAATACCTGGTGTGATTGAGCTATTAATAAAAGATATGTCTTTTACCTACACATTATGATATTTGTAGATACAAGGTGAGGTAGTCGATGGGAAAAGGTACTTGTAATTATTAGGAGAAAAGGCCTGGTTTCTATAAGGTAAAAACAATGACTTTACAATCTGCTTGTGACCAAGTTCAGAAATCTTTATTTTCCACCTCTCACTCCTTGGTTGGGAGTTTCTCCCATGACGTAAATCCTTTCATAATACACACTATATTCGTTTTATAAGCAGAAATGATAAGAAACCTCTTCACTTGCGTCATGAAATTCAGAAATCCTCCTTCCATGAGGTGTTTGGCACTATTTCAGTGATGTTGCAGATATTTACAAGGCTAAGTTTATCACACTGAACTCCTGTCTTGGAGAGTTGCTGCCAAATCTTAAATATTAGATGAGACTTCGCCTGTGTCTCCAACGTGATGTGCATTGTTGATACAATAAAATAAGTGTGAATCCTGCTATTCATGCATTACAGTTGGACTTTTTCCCAGCCGACATTATGACTAGACATAGCCGTAAAAAACAGGTGTTAGTAACACTGTTAACAACGGCTTCGATCCATTAGTCCCAGAAAGCTGGAACAATATTAAGACCCTGGACCTGTCCCATGTTAAAATGCTGTAAACATACTTAGTAATTGTACTGTTGTCCATCTGTTTATCTTTCTGTAATTGGATATGTTGCAGTGGTCAAAATTGCTTGAGTATATCAGATTAGAAACGTTATACTTCCTTTCAATTTCTTAGAAGAAAAGTAGACCGCATTAGATTGTAAGGGTACTTCTAAGTTATTAACCTCATAGCATAATTAGCATAAGGATTCTAATGGTTTTATCATGCTTTTAGAGGGTGTATTGTTACATTTTTAATAGCATTTGTTTTGAGTGATTGACTCATCCTAATGATGGCTGTGTCCCCAGGCTTGTGGACGACCGCTGTGTGGTGCAACCCGACACTGGAGACCTCAACAACCCACCCAAGAAATTCAGAGGTAAGGCCTCAAAATCACTCGCAACTCAGTTATTGATCTTGATGTCTGTAGTAAATGTCAGGATTTTCAGAAAGTTGAGGGTTTCACAACTGTATCTGTAGTAGTTTTGATTTTTTTAGAAGTTTAGGTAAAAGTTATTGTTGTGATTGGACTCCTTTGTTTACTTCTGTAACATAGTGACATCACCATGTAACTGTAACCCTTCTATTGGTGGCGGTTAGCAAATCACAACAGAGCCGGCCAGCTAACCAATCACAGCAGACTGAGCTCTGGTTTCAGACAGAGGGTGAACAGAGGAAACATTAAAGCATGTAAACATGTCACAGTAGAAGCAGAAAATATAAATGTGAACTAAAATGGAGCATAATATGTCTCCTTTAACCTCCATATTTATTTTCCAATGTGGTGTTTGGTGTTACCAGACAGGTCAGGGGAAGTTTAGAAGTTATAAAAGCAGCTCTGATTCCCAAACATTGAAGGGAAAAACAATGATAGTGCCTATGCTGTTAAATGATCTGTCAAAGGTCAATGATATATCTGATCATACTAGCTGGCCTGACGGCTGCTCCTACATTGATTGTGCAAGCCTCCTTACTCCTTTAACAACAGACACTTTGTCCTCACATTTCTCGTTGTTGTTAATCTGGGTTTTAACTGCCACTCAACGGCTGACTCCCGGAAAAGATCTATCAACATTTTACTTTTTAGAAACCCCTCCGCATACCTTTGTTTATTGTTGTCACATTCAAAACAACAAGCTGCAGGTTTGGTTGTAGACTTTGTTTCTTCATTCTCAATACACCTGAATCTGAATTCTTCTACAAACATATCAACTCATTATGTGCCAGCTAAGCAATCAGAGCAGACTGGGCTCTGGTTTTAGACAGAGGGTGAAAAGAGGTGCTGCGGCACAGGAAGTATGAGAAGAATAAGTACCTTTTTTTTAAACATGTCACAGTAGAGGCACAAAATACAATTATGAACCTGCATTTTGCATGATAGGTCCCCTTTAAGGCAAGAACAGTCCATAGTAACGGGCTTATGTCATTTCAGTTGGGCGTTGTTTGTCTTTTTGATTTGTTGTTTCTCATGTTGTTGATGATTGCATTTCGTAAGGGTTGTTTGGTTCAGATTGATTTCTATTGCTGTTGTATTTTACTCAAAAGCAATAGTAGATTAAGTGGCTCTGCTGGGTAAGGGCCCATTTCTTTTCCAGATCTGCTTGAATTATTAAAGGCGTTTTTTGTTCACCAGATACAAAAAAATGCTCTTAGACGATTATCAACCACAAATTCATTTTACTCTCGCATTCCACTGAAAGGTACTTCCCTGTGTTGGGAAATAAATGGTGTTTCCTGAAACCGTTTTGAGATGCTTAGTTATATTTGCATATTATCTGGTTTGAGGCCTGCATTTGAAATAGAGCTTGACTGCAGACATGATCATTTGTTAGCATAAATGCCAATGACCTCTGTTGCTTTCAGATATCTGTCTTGAAAGAACATTTGGCACGCCGTTACACGACCAACAGCTGTCTGACATAAGACAGGAAGGATAAATTGTGCGGTTTTATGGAAAATTCTGACCCTGTCATCAGTCGCAAAATAAATATATGATTATCTGGCCTGCTGGTGCAGCTAATATAGTAGCCACTAAGAGCCTAACATCATTGGCTGCCACTTCCTAACAAATACATTTCTATATATATGTTGGCAGGTTTCCAAAATAAGTTTTAAGTGAATTAGTCAGGAGTGAAATAACACAACTGCCTATTTCCATTTACTTGGAACAGTGCACTTTCCAAATTGATGAAATTAAATTGACCTTTTATTTTATGTCGGAAACAATGAAGGACCTTATTTTTCATGTCCCTGTCATTGTCATAATTGGTACTCTTGATTGATGGTCACAAGGAACAGGAACATGCACACACAGACTCACTGACTGTGAAACTAACTTAGTTGTATATCATGTTGCCTTATCAGGTTATTTTTGACCTGGCTAGCTTTGAATAATAGTACTTGGGGTCATTTTTCAGAAAAAAACGGAGATACATTTAAAGGTGGGGTATGTCATTTATTTCAGAAACACTTTTTGTTATATTCCATGGAATGCTCTTAACATCCCGATAGCAATGAATACATTAAATGCTTTGACAATAAATACATTAAAAAATGTCATCTGTGGAAGCCGTGGCGCTGCAAAAAGCACGACCAATCATCTGAGCCGGCCCGGCTAAAATAACTGGATGGCCTACCTGCCTGTCAGCCTTCCAACTCGTGCACAAACTTATCTCGTGCCCTCATTGGTCATGTGCGCGTTCGTGTGTGTTGGAGGAGGGGCTCTGTAAGGAAGTCTGAAGGAAGGGGCAGATTTTTTCCGGTTGTGTACTTTCAAATTCTAGCGCACTCGAGCTGGTTTCTCTACAATTACATACCCCACCTTTTAAGTATCAGTATATATTTTTCTCATTTTGAAGAAACGTATTCGTTAAAAAATGCAGAAACGACTAAAAGCTAGTGGTTATTCAGCTTGAAAAAAGGGCAAATAGAGACATCTTTCACAGACAGAATGCTCCCTGACATAGTATTTGTTGGATTTAGCCTATATCAAATCTCTCCTTTCCTATATCAAAACCCCACTGAGACTAAAATGAATATATTCTATTTCAAATGGTTAAATAAGTTTGTAAAAACAAAGCGACAGTACTGAATCAGAAACAGAAACAGAAACAGAAACAGGTTTATTACCAGGTCGGTTAACACGTACGAGGAATTTGACTTGGTGTTGTGGTGCATACATAAAAGTAAAACAAAAATGTTAAACCGAAAGAGAATCCCTCCTAAATGATCACCATGACAGGACAGGAGCCCACACATTCATTATACATTTACTCGGCACTTCTAGCTTTTCAATAAAGATAGACATTTTCATTTTATGACTTAGGTTGAAGAATTTCCCAACCAGAAGGCCCACATTTTTTTCATTTAATTTGCCTCATTGAACAAGACTCTGTTTTGTTGTCAGGGCACGATGCTTGCACCACATGGAGTGTTTCTGATGGTAGTCCCAGGCAGAGTTAAGTATCAGGTCCGTGACAGCAGCCTGTCATTACATCTTAACGTCTAATAACCGGCTCTAACCTGACAGCGTGATCGGCACAGATTAGCTAGCAGCTCTGTGGCTAAAAATACAACATCTTTTGTTTTTGTGGAGACCCGGTGCACTTCTATTGTTGACTTGTCTCAGCTTTCCTGACTCTTTGATTTGCATGTATTCAGGGGTGTCGCTGTGTATGAGGGTCAGACTTAACACCATTGTAAGGGTCTTTAATTGAGAAGAGCCCTAAAGAAATACTGAACACTAAACAAGAAAAGTCAATAGAAAATTGGCATTAAAACGATAAAAACGTTAACTGAAGGTGAATCCAATGTGTCTGTGTCACTTTGAAAGGATTACTGATAATCCATCTTCATATTTATGTCAATAACGGAGTTTTCATATATAGCTGCTATGATAGCTACGAGAATGTATGACAGCTTCCGGTTTTGGGCATTCTGGCTGCGCATCCCTCATTCACCAATGGGTAATGTTTAGATGGATTTAGGAACTTCCCCTCGATTCTATTGGCTCTAACGGTTAAAAAGAGATGTCAATCATCAAAATCGACCGAGGGGGCCAGAGATATGGAAAATGCACCCAAATGACCCCAGAAGTGTTTGTTTTTTTCTAAATCTCTCTAAAAAGGTCAAATGTCACTTGTTTTGCATCAATCTTGATACAGGGTACTTATTATATGTTATAGTTTGGATTCCTAAAGCTTTTAGTCTACGATCCCATCATTCAAGGGTGGTTTTCACTATAAGTAATGGCTTATTTTTGGACGGACACTATCATTTACATTTTTTTACTATGTTCAATCTGAATTTACTTTAAAATAAAAAAACATCTATATTGATTCTGACTCTTCTACATCCAACTCACAGATGTAACCTTGCTTTGAGAAAAAAGATTATTAACGTACCCCTTTTAGAAGTGAAGATATGGTCATTTGTTCTGGGAATGTCATTTTCGAGCCTGAGGCCTGAAAAACAGGCTCAGGGCTTAACTGGTTAATAGAGTATTTTATTTTCGTCGTACTAATACATTGTTTTCGTTGTATTTTATTGTTTTCAACTAAAAAGATACATCCATCTGTATTTACCAACACCTTTTGTTTACGTGAAATATGTCTCAGCTTCCAAAGGTCAAATCCAGCGTCCACATAAGAAAGCAGCAGTAGAGTTATGGCACCCAATACTTTTGGGATATTTTAATTAAAGATGTTTATGTACAGCCAAGTTATATTGATTTAAAGTTATTCATTTATGTTTTAGAAGAGCCTTTGGTACATTTCTCATATCAGTCCTGTATCTGTGTTGTGGATACAGTTTGCATTACAGTCATTACTGAAGTTACCATCTGTTTTATTTTCCTTTACAACTTAGACTTTACATTCCCATTACTGACTAATATCAATCGAAAATCAACATTAATATAAATATATATATATATATATATATATATATATATATATATATATATATATATATATATATATCACAGTATCCATGTATATGACCAAACATCTGATCAGAAATGCGTCTCGCATCGGGAAACTTACAGAATAACAGCAAAAGGTGACATAGCAGAGGAAAGGCAAACAATAAAAGAGTAAGCTCACATGTTGAATAAAGAGACAGCATACAAATAATACATATCCATGGTCAAAAGTACGTTTTAGAAGTGAATATATTGAATATAAATATCCTGATATCTGATTTTCTCCACCTCACACAGCCCTTATGATGAATTCCAAATGTCCCAGTAGACGCTGCCTTAGCGTAGCTGAAGGAGAGGATAGCATTGGTGATGAAATGAAATATTTTGAGAACATTTTTGTTGAGCAGAAAAGTGCTGAACTGAATGGTAATTGTTACGTTGGATTGCAGCACATTCAA